AACAATGTCCAGTTCATTTAATTTTTATTTTTTTTTCTGAGAGGGGCTCAAAAGATCAGTATTTTTTCTGAGTTACAGACAGTGTCCCTAAAACCCACATGAAAGTGTAAATGCCACAGTGTTTCCTCATTTGATCTTGCTCCAAGTCTTGCTGCCATAGGACTCCCCACCACCAGTGCAACGTCCTTCTAGTCAGAGAACAGCTGGGGGTCTGTGCTGAGACAAAAGTCTTCTCCTATTTCCCATGGGATGGCATTTCTAGATTTCAAAGCTTGTTGTGTTATGTTAGGAAACAGTGGAATGAGAAAAAAAGGTGGAGGGGATGTTCCTATGTGGTTAATAGCCTGCTTTTCCTCACTGAGCGTGGAGGGAAATGAGCTTCCTGCTTAAGGTGAGATGTCATTTTCTGGATGGAAACCTTTGTGTCCCGGCTAGGCTGCTCCTTTCAGTGCCACTGCTCGTGGGAGGTCTCTTCCAGTGTGACTGCTCTCCCTCCCGGGCCTCTCCTTTCCTGGCACCTTGCTCCTGCCTTGCATCAGTCCTGATGCTGCTCAGAGGAGTGGTGGGGTCAGCACAAGGGAGGGGACACCACCATGTGGCTGCAAATGGGTTGGGAAAGGTGTACTCATTTCAGCACAGAGTCCAGTGTTTGTTCTCACTGTACTCTTCCTCACACAACCTCAAGACTCAAGCATCCAGGTGGATTTTGGCATTTCACTGCTGAAGATTTCAGTGACAGCTCAGTTTGGTGTGGGACCAAACTCACATCAATAGCCCCAGTCCCCTGGGCTGGCCGTGCTGAGCTGGACTTCCCACCCAAAGAGAAGCAATTCTCGGGTGTTAGAGCACGTTTCCAAGCAAGCAAGGTGGGGCATCACTTTGCAAAGATCTATAAACAGCAGCTCTTTGTCTCCTCTGTTTCTCTTCACACTGAACGTGTTGCTGTTTTCAGAGGTTGGTTTCAAAGTGCTGATTCACAGCCACCAGCCGTATTGTTTTATCTGAGAAGATTAGGGCTGAGAATGTTGTGGTTTTGTAGTGAAAAGGCTCCATTGGAAATAGCAGCGTATTTGACATGAGACTGTTATTTATGCTCAAATAACCATCTTGTTTAAAGATGAGAAGTCTTTTATTTTTTTCCTTTTCAAGTTTAGCTCAATCATGTATGAAGACAAACTCCCACTCAGCCTCCCCTGGCCCCTAATACTTTCATTTCATTCTTCTGCTCATTATTTTATTATTTTGTCCTTGACTGGAACATTTCTCTCGTGCTCTTCCTTACATGCACCATTAAAGAAGGAAAGAACTTACATTTAAAGCTCAAAACTTGTGTAGCTCTTAAGCCATAAATAATGTTTTTACAGATTCTAAGATTATTAAATCCTTCTAGTTAGCCTCCCTCTTATTTTACAGCTCATCTGATTAGAGGGGACATACTCTTGTTAAACTTGATTTAACTACTTCTGTTTTGCTTTTGCAAGCAGACATGAGAAAACAGGACCTGGCTGTATGCACTGGTGATCAGAACATTTGCCATAGGAATGCAAAAAAAAAAGCTTGCAGCAAGAGAACTCTTTGTTGGTACAGCAAAAACCTCCAGAGAAATCCTGCAGCTCTTGAGATGTAGTTAACTTTCTAAATACAGGCAAGTCTACAAGCGAAGCTAAAAACTGTTTATCTAGGGAGATAAATGCCATCAAACTACCCTTTTTTGTAAAGGGCTGACAGGTGCAAAATCAGTAAAGGAATACTTCAGTGTGAGAAGATAGTTCTGCTAAGGTAGTGACCAGTTTTGGGCAGCTGTAGGAACTGAACCATTGGGCACTGTGCTTTGCCTCCCCATCTCTGGCTTCTGTTGATGCCCAGCTTGGGCTTTGCTGAGCCAGGCATCAGCTCTTGCCCACAAATGCAGCCAAACCAGCTTCTGCAGTTTGAAGAGATCCTGATACTGCAGCAATGAGCTGCACTTCTGCTTGATGAAATCTGCTCAGCTCAGACAGTACCTCAGGGGATGCTAGGGAGTCAGGCCTTGCCCGTGTTACAAACTACAGAACTGAGCACATAGAGAAATAGCCCTACCAGAGACAAAGTGAGTGAAAAGTGCTGAAAAGCCTCACAGTAGACAGCCTAAACAATGAAATGAGTTCCTCCAGTTAGTCCATGGTCATCAGTAAGGCAAATGCCTCTGCCTCCTGGGCCAGACAGGCCAGTGTTTTAATGGTAGGCATAAATCTATTGCATTTTTCTCCTCGTGACCTAACATATTCTGTCAGGCCAATGCATGCTCCAGAGAAGGAGTAGAATTTATGTGTACAATAAAACAATAGAGTTTCAGTGATATCAGCTGTTTGACAAATTTTAATATACATTTGCTATAAAACAGGCAGAAATTACCAGAATGTAATACCCAAATAAAATCCATGATCCATTTGCACAACAGATCTTCAATTTACTTGCATTCATGTGAAAGAGACACATAAAAATGATATCCATGCTTAAAATCACTTAAAAGCAGTCTGAAAGACCCCCACAGTTGCAAGTGATACCTCAGTACTTAGCTAATACTCATGTTTCGATGGCTTTGCCTTCATGATTCTTCCAGTGGTTCCTTTATGTTTTCTGGTATTTTGCCAAACACCTGTGAATCAGTGCACAACAAATATTCCTGCCATTTAATTTAGCCTTGCACAGAAAGGCTATATTAGGCCTGATGCAGACCTAATCCCAAACCTCTAAAGAGGTTTAAGGCACTCTGGTTTCACCTAATCCCGAAACCTAAACCAGAATCATTGAAAACCTCCATAACACCACAGGAATGGGCAAATAGTGAGTTTCCACTATGAAATTATTAAAAGGACATAGTGTATCTTTTGGATTTGAGACCTAAAGCTTTGCCTAAGGAGCTTGGACTGTCCACAATAAAAGTGTTTATTTTGAAGTTAGGAGATTGAAAGGTTTATTTGACTAGAGGGCTGATTTTACCCCTCCTACCCAAAAAACAAAGAGGGGTGATCACCCAGAAGAGTGGAAAATAGGAGAAGGGATGACCAAGTAACAAGGGAGGGGAAGCCCAGCAAAGCAGACAAAGATGAAACCCATGTTTCTTTTTAAGCTCAGTCATGGCCCCTTGTGCACAACTGGGCTTTTGGGGCCTGAAGTTCCTCACAGCAAACATGTAAGGAAAGAGTTATTTCTGATATAATAAACACATTGCTGCTGTTCAAAATCGAGGATTTGCTCTTTTAAGATGTCTTACTGATAGTAGATAACATGTAAAAACGTGCTGTAATGGAACTTGCAATTACAACTTGCATCCAACTGTAATAAATTTGATCTTGCATTAATTCATGTTAAATTAATTGGATTCTGTCATTCCTGAATTCTGGTAACCACCTTATCTTGCCACACAACTCATTGTCTTTGTGTTGTGAAAGGGGTATTTCATTTTCAAGGCGACTGTAGGGAATATTAACTGTACCATATTCTAATAAATATTTAGCCCCTAACAAATTAAAGACCTGAAGTATACTGCACGTGTGGTTCCATTTTTCATAGCAATTTATAGCAATGATCTGCTGCTCTAAATCTCTTAATTCAAATCATTTCAGCAAAACATACAGGGAAATACAGGGCTGTACTTGTGCATTAAACAATACAGAATGTATTTATCTGTGCTCAGGACGTTCTTCCTAATGAGAGGCATAACCTCCTTGGTGTACTGTGCTTTCATAACCACCAAATGCCATTTAAAGCCCTTTAGAGCAAGCATTTAGGAATCAGTGTTCCTGCTGACGAGAAATTTGATAGGAGTAGAAAAGCAAGCTCCAGATTTACCTTCCCAAACTCACAGATAATCTCCATGCCTTTGTTTGCATCAATAAGTGGAACAGAACAGCACTCATTTAACAGCACTAGATTTAATTTAGCTTTGAAAGACCCTGTCTCCATAGGTAAAAATGGTAGGAAAACTCAAAAGCATGTTTTATGAGGTACCAAGCTTTCTAGCTGGAATTAGAGCAGGACAGTTTCCTGAAAAACTACATAAATGACACAGCTTTTAACTTCTAGACAGGTGACACAAGCAAATAATGGTTTATTTGCTTTCCTTGAGTTTTGGTGTGGCTGGAGAGTAACGGGGGCCTGTGAAAAGGAGAGGAGTACATCTCTCTGCATGGCTGTCATTGTACACGTCTGCACTGTGCTTCCCACCACCCTGGTGAGGGTGAATGGCTACAGTAGCAGGGTACAATTCCAATCCCACAGCAGTTTTGTTCCAACAATACACACAAGGTTATTTAACTATTGCCTCATTTAGTTCAGTTGTGACACCTAACCAGTAACTTCCATGGGGAAACATTTCAGAAGGCAACTTTATTTCTCTAAGGAAGCTCTCCCGCAGGTCCTGGGTAACTTTGGCTGCGTTGCGCTGAAAGAACTGGGTCTTTATCCCACAACAAAGCCAAGTTTACAGTGGCTCCTGGAGGAGAAAAATGACTTCAGGAATGCGATAGCCCCATGCATAGCAGAGATAAATGGATGATAAATGGATGCTAAATGGATGCTGTGCAAGCAGAGAGCCCAAACCACAGCTCAATGTGTACCCCATTGATCGGCCGTCCCGACCAGGTGGGGAATCGCCCGAGTCACACACGGACTGGTGGCAGCGACAGCCCGGCACCAGCGCCTCGGCTCAGCCCCTCTCGGCTGGTTCAGAGCTCGTGTCTGGCTCCGCGGAGCAGTGGCACGCGCGGGCTCCCGGTGAAGGCCAGGTCCTCCCGGTTACGGAGCGTGAGGAAGCGGACAGGCGCCAAGCCCCTCGTAGGACCCTCGGAGCGGGGCTTCTCCGCGGGAACTGTGGGCTGCCGTGAGCGGGAGCTCCTGACGGAGCCTCCACAGCCGCGTCCCGCTCGGTCCCGGCGGCTGCTGGGCCCCGGCGGGCCGGTACCGATAGCGCGTGCGCGCCACCCGCCGGCCCCGTGACGTCACGCGCGGGGCTCGGCGTTCCTCCGTGTCCGCCTGGTTCCCGCGGGGATCGCCGAATAATCGCTATCACGCACCCGCCCCGCCGGGCGGAAGGGTGCTCGGTGAGCGGGGCAGGGGAGGACGGGGGGACCACGCGCTCGGCCGCGGGGGTGGCGGCGGGGCCGGAGCAGGCTGGGAGAGCTCCGTTATCACTGGCGCGGCGCCGCCTCATGGGCCGGAGGTGGTGGTGGCGCTTTGCGCACGCGCGGGGCGTCGCCACGGCAACGGCGCGGTGGAGGCTCGGCCGCCGCGCGCGGGGCGCGCGACGGGGGCAGCGTCGCCCACCGCCCGCGGCGCGCGACCCCTTAAAGCCCCTCAGAGCCTCGCACAGACCCTCAGAGCTCCGCACGGCCCCTGAGAGCCATTCACGGCCCCGGAGAGTCCCACAGGGCCCCTCAAACCCCCTCAGAGCCACTCACAGCCCCGAAGAGCCCCGCAAGGCCCCTCAAAGTCCCTTGTGGCCTCTCAGAGTCCCTTACGGCCCCGCATAGCCACTCGTGGCCTCTCGGGGCCCCTCACGGCCTCTCAGAGCCTGGCACAGCCCTGCAGATCCCCACACAGCCCCACTCCAGCCCGGGTGGGAAGAAGCTCAAGCCGGCACAGTGAGGGAGATGTCGTATCTGTGGCTGACGTGAGGCATCTGCTCGAAAACAGTGGTGTTTTGATTAGGGTCTGCATCTCCTTGATGCTCTGAGGCAGTTTGCCTGGACAGGCTGTGCAGGAGCTTCTCTAGCAGCGGTGATAGTGTGTGTTCCTTGAGTTCAGGATACACCCCATCAGAGATCAGCACCAAGCCTAGTGGTAATGGAGCCCACAGTTCTAATGGTTTGAATTTTACAACTCTCCATAATCATCCCACTTCTTTTATGACCAATAGAAACAAATATTCTTTAGGTATTTAAGCGACATAGACACTGCTTGAGCAGATGGAGGTAAGGCATGAACAGCCTTGGCTGAAGATTGAACACGGTTCTGTCCAAGGGAGGCACAGCGTGGGGTGGGTCTCTCCCCACCATTTGCAAAACAGTAGTGTCAGGAACACGTAAAAGTGCTTTAATACCTTTCATCTGAAAACATTTACAAAAGAAAACACATGATTTTCAAGTACAGTATGATAATATGAAAAATACCGTATTTCTGAGCCGGTCAGAGCTCCAGCGCTGACGGGCCCGGTCAGGGCTCGTAGCTGGCTCTGCTGGCTCGCTCCCTGTCGCCCTCTGGCGGCAGCGCGGGGCAGCGCCCGTCACGGGGCACACCGGGCAGCGCGGCCGCGTTGTTCCGAGCGCGCCCCGCAGCTCCCGAGGGACATCCGCGCACTGACCTCCGACACTGGCGTTCTTTTTTTATGTGGTTTTCTCCTCGGTAGTGCTGGTTGTTTGAAATAAGGAAAATCTCTTGTACAACTCCTTTAAATGACAATTTAGAGTAGGAAACAATCCCGGCTCCGGATTCAGCAGCTTCATTTTGAAATGATAAAGGTAAAAAGCAAGCATGGTGTGTGCTCTGGAAAAAAAAGACCACACGAGATGGAAATATGTGTGTAACTTTTTCCTTTGGGAATTGTTGCGGGGAGCATTTTGCCACACTTAGCACAGTCTCTTTATGACCTGTCATCCTTCCGAAGCTCCTTCCAGTGACCCCCAATTTTAGCAGCTTTTCTGTGAAGCTTTTAGAGAGGGCTCTGTGACTGAGAAATGTCATGAAATATGTGTCCTGTCTGCCTAAGTTACAGGAACCCTAGAGAATTTTTTAAAATTTTATTTGTAGCTAAATTACTAGATTTTTTAAAAGCTACTGGAGCAACTTCTTGTTTTTTAATGATTCCTATTAACGTTTTTATTGATTTACAGGTAAACTAGTTGTTTCTTGTTTTAAAAATACCGTGCAATCAGCAAGTCTAACTCTGTTTATTCTGGCTTGGATGTGTGATTATCAGTTATAAAGATTCTGCAGATGGAAATTATGTTGGTGCATGCACTGGAATAGATGCCGGTTTCTAATATCAGATAGATTGTCTGATTTTGGTTAATTGGTGCAGAGACTTATTTTTATGCACTGAAATGACAATGTTGGAATTGTAAGGTATTTAGGGAGCAGATCTGTTGACTAAGTATGTTTACGCTTTTTCTGAGCATTTTAGAATACTGTTAGTTTATTTTTGCAAAGAACTGTGTAATTATTGACCCTTTTATGTTCTTATACTCTAAAGAGACACATCTTTTTGGCTCTCTACCATGAAGTACATCAGGCTATATTATGCTTCATGTTTGTATAGGTCTTATTTTTAATTTGAGTACTATTTCTCTGCAAGCTCAGCCATAACAATGTACTGTTTCATTGGATCACTACTAACTGTAAACTATTTTTTTTCAGTCATTGCTAATTAGCTTATATGGGAAATTTAACCCTGAAGATTCCGATTTTTCAAAATTATATTCTATGAAGCACTGTATTCATTGGGGAAAAATAGCTACTGTAACTGCTCTTCTGTAATAGTCTTGTTGCAGCTGGATTATACATGCATGCTAGTGCTATTTTCTGGCTTCGTGAAGACAAACTTGATTAAAAAAAAGGTTGAACTTTGCTTTTTGGACACCCTTTTCAAGTTGTAGTGCTGATACTTTCCTTTTGTACAAACTTGGAATCTCAATACAGTATTACATGTTTGTTGTGTTTGTATGTCTTTATAAAGGAAAAAGGTAAGTCTAGTGACAGTAATGGTGTTTTCCTCCCCAGTATATCTGTGGGAATGCATTTATGCTCTCTTTGTAATAATGCAGTTTGACTGCACTAGAATATACTTGGTAGTAGAAATGAAGGATTTAAAATTAGTATTAGGTTGAAAACTCTTCAGCTGCTGGGGTTTTAGTTTCTAAATTACTGGTCTCTGTGGAGCAGTTTAAGTGATCACAAAACAATGAGAATGAAACAAATCTTTAAAAGAACCTGCGCAATTTTTTGCCCAAGCAAGCCAGCTTCCTTTTGAGCTCTGTGCTGGCACAGTTGTATCATTAAGAGTGCTTTTTTCTTTCTTTCTTTTCATTATCGATAAAATAATTTCACAAATGTAATGAATGCAGTTCCTGTGCTACAGTTTAATTATATGCAGCTAATGATGGCATAACTCGTCATTTCAAAAATTGTCTCACTGGCATGTATGACTTGGTGTAAACGCTCATGTATCGTGGGATTTGAAAGAACTGAAACTTTCAGAGATGTCGGGTTTGCCATGATGAGGAAAGTTCCTCATTAAACAAGAGGTGCAGGTTAGCAGTGGGAGACTGTAGAACATATTTAGGCTACAAATACCAGAGTCAACAAGATTTACTTTTAAAAGCCATGTTACTGGATGTCATTTGAAAAGGGGATATCTTAGTCTTGAAAGTTTCTAGACCACTAAACCAGAGAATCCAGGCTTTGTAATGATTCAGGAGCATTTAAAACAGTAATCAATCTTTTCTGCTTCTCAAAAGCTAAAGTTCCAGAGGAAGTCACCTTTTCTGTAAACAGATTTACCAGCACAGGTTTTTAGAACTATAACATCAAACTGTGAGCAAATTCAAGAGTTTTAGAAGAAAAATAAAATCTTTTAGTCAGCAAATCTTCTTTCTCATGATTTATTTTTAAAAGTCATAAGGTGACCATTACAGTAAAAAAATAGTTTGTACAGGATAACCTTCCCAGATGAGATGCAACCCTGTCCTAAACCTTGGGGTCTGCAGCCTGAGTTTCCCAGAGCTGCTGGGTGACAGCTGAGTGTAAGGTAAAGCTGAGCAAGAACTATTTGAAAAAGAAGTATAGACTAATGTTTAGCTTTTCTTTTTGTTTAAGTTATTCTGTAGTTTTTCAGTAGATGCTAAATTTCTTTGATTTAGGAGAGGGAAGGATTTTGCTTTAAAACACCAGATAGGAATCTTAGGACAGACTTTTCACACTCAGACAGCTGGAGCAGCTGTAGAATCCCCACTGAAATGAAAATGAAACAATTCAAGGTTTAGAAAGGCAAAAAGTGTGACCAGAGCATTAAATAGAAGGGCCATATGATACCAAAATTAAGCTCTGTGTTTATTATTAGGAAAATCTTTGTTTTAGAAGGGAAAAAAATGAACTTGTTCCACCACTTTCTTTTTTCCTCAGGAGAAAACACAGAATATAGCCTAGGTAATAAATCTGCTTTATGGCTCACATGAGAAAGGGTGGAGAAACTCCCATTATTTTCTTCCCAGAAATTGAAATACACATGAGCTAACATGGGAGACACTGGGATTTTCATCCAACAAATGCACAGCTGGCTTCTGCTTTTATTATTTTTCTAAGCCTAATAATTTTTCATTTGATTAGCTGGTGGCTGACAAAACTATCACTTGCACAGTGTTTTGTATATTTAGTAGAGTAGGTGTGATGCAAAAAAGATATTGTAATGTGTGCCCAGAAGCATAGCACAACTTGTTCAGTTGATGAGAAATTCCTGCTTGCCTCTTCCTAAAATGCAGGTTTCTATCATCAGCATTTGAGTTTGAATATCAAGAAAGGAACTTCTTGACCTCTAGAAGGAACTCTAGAAAAAAGAACTGGTGGGAATAGTAGAGCTGCAAACAAGATTTACCAAGGAATTTAAGTGTACACAGTGTGAGTTGTGGAGAGACCCATGGACACACTTAATGTGAAAAAAATAACAGCAGCCACCCACAAACCCACCCAGCCAATGAGATAAAGTGAGCACAGACATAAAGGTGGGAGAATAGGAGCCATCTAAGAATGAGGTTCCTCAGAGCCATATCTGAGCAGACCCCTATAAAGCCATGGATTCTCAGTTTGAAATCAGGAGGGAGAATGGCCTATCCTTCATCTGCCTTCTGCAGAATAAAGAAAACATTCAAGAATCCAGTATCCTGTTTTGCATTGACCATTATTGCCAGGACAAAACAGGCTGGTTTCTCCTGTGTTGACTCTTCTGGTGTTTGAAGTGCTAAGCTCTGCTGCTGTCTGTGTGTTCTGGGAAAAGCAATGATAACACCTTCCCTAAGTAAGCAGCAGGGGAAGAGGGCTGCATTCTTATCCC